AAAAAAAAAAAAAAAAGAAATATGTGCAGGTTCTGCTGGTATCTCAGTGAATAAAATGTCTAGAGAGAACTAAAGTTTCTCTCAGTTGCCATGTTGATTTATGTTTTCCCAGGTGATCCTCCCGCTGCTTAAAAGTGATCTTTATGAAGTGATTCAGTCTACCTTTGATGGCCTGCTCCACACATCTCTGCCTGTCTGGCTGGAAAACCGCACCGCCCTAACTGTCGTGATGGCAAGTAAGGGCTACCCAGGAGATTACACCAAGGGTGTGGAGATAACAGGTAAATACCCGGGAACCAAAGGTGGGATTAGAGTGCAACAAGTGACCTGTGTTACAGCAGGCCTTCCTCCCGTGCTCTGCTCTGTGCCTTTTACGGGTATAAGGCCATCAGAAACCTTGAAGGGATTTTTAACCATGTTGGATGTGGGTTTCAAATATCCAGAATTACTGTATTTAAAGAATTGCCATCAGTTTCTCTTCCTCACAAGAAGACCTAAGTAGGCCTAGCCAGGTTTCTAGAATATCACTTGCTGTTTCTTTCTTTTCCACCCTCCAAGAGCCAGGAAGATAAAGGGAATTTATGAGAGTCAGAGGAACATTGGTAGAAGCTACATCAGTGAGACACATCCCAGAGGCATCACAACTAGACCCCACCCCCTCTTCCATTTGCAGCATACCCCATAGTCACTGGGATGTCAGAATTAAAAGTTTCAAAACAATAGCCTTCTCTTCTGTTTCCCTTTATAGGAAATGAGGTATCTCTTGTTAAATGATACTAAATAAAACAGTGTCTTAAAATGCCACGTAAGTTCTAGTGCCATAAGCCCCAAGGCAGACCTCCATGATCCCTGGCAGGCTGTAGTTTGGCCTCCCTCAGGACCCCAATAGTGCATTGGTTCAAACACCCCATTTCCTGCCTCGCCCAGACAGGTCCACTGCCCTGTGAGTCCCACACGTGGCAGCTGAGCAGGTAGGAATTGATTGCCTTTTAAAATGAACAAAGAGAAGGGATAGACTCAAGATCACTTAAATTGGTGAAATCTCCCAAGACTGAGGTGACAAGTGTAATAGTCATTTCTGACACAGCAATATTAGGTATTCCCAACACCAGTAGGTATTTGGAACTGAATGCCCTAGTGTTATAACATTTAGGGAAGACTTCTAACAAGTTACCAACTGCAATGCTAAGAGAAGTAATGACCAAAAAGGACAAACTGAATATATAAGAGTGTGTGGGGTTTTTTTTGTTCTTTTTTGTTTTTAATTAAGAGGTTATCTTTGTATAAGCTGCCCATGTTGGTCACTTGAGAATACAGAAAATATGGTCAGATAATATATTAGGTGTAAAATTATATATGAGAGTTTAAAAGTAATTTAAAAGAAAATTAAGCTAGGGATTTTAGACAGGGCCTGAAACCAAATTTAAATTTGTCTTAAAATTTTACAGTTGTTGTATTAGGGAAAAGATTAAGAATATGTTTTGCATTACAGTTACTCCTTTGGTTATTTAAAGAAGAAAGCAACTTAGATGGCTATGATAAAAAAGAAATTCCAAAAGTAAAAGATGTAATCAAATGAAGATTTTATTCATTGACGTTTACAGGGTTTTTGTTGTTGTTGTTGTTTTTCCTTTTCCCATCTTTTAAGTTTTAGTTTTTAATGTCCTATCAGGAGAAAATAACTGTACAGCTCACCCTTGAAGAACATGGGTTTGAACTGCATGAGTCTACTTACACGTGGATTTTTTTTTTTTTTACAACACAATATACCATAAATGCATTTTCTCTCCCTTATGACTTTCTTGATAACATTTTCTTTTCTCTAACTTACCTTATTATAAGAATGTAGGGGCGCCTGGGTGGCGCAGTCGGTTAAGCGTCCGACTTCAGCCAGGTCACGATCTCGCGGTCCGTGAGTTCGAGCCCCGCGTCGGGCTCTGGGCTGATAGCTCAGAGCCTGGAGCCTGTTTCCAATTCTTTGTCTCCCTCTCTCTCTGCCCCTCCCCCGTTCATGCTCTGTCTCTCTCTGTCCCAAAAATAAATAAACGTTGAAAAAAAAAATTGTATAAAAAAAGAATGTAGCATACAGTATGCGTAACATACAAAATACACATTAATTGACTGTTGATGTTATTGGTAAGGCTTCTGTTGGACAGTAGACTATTAGTAGAATTTTTGAGGAGTCAGAAGTTATACATGGATTTTGAACTGTCAAGGGAAGTCAGCACCCCTAATCCTGACATTGTTTAAGGTTCACCTCTTTGTTTAGGTCCTAAGCTTTTCAGGACTTGGGTTCTTTTTTTTTCTTTTTTCCCTCCCCTATTAAAAGTTCTCACATGAGGCTTATGATAACACAGGTTTCTGATAATACAGCTTTCACCCAATAGCAGAACGGGCTGTTCATAAGAGAGAGGGTCTATTTGTTGTCCTGGTGCTTTATTCCTTCCTGATGGGATTACTGTGAAGATTCATTTAAGTGAAATAAAAATCTTATTTAAAAACCTTATGAAAACTAAAAACTACTTCAGACGCATGGATTGCCGTTATTACATAAATATGCTCTCTTACAGGCTTTCCTGAGGCTCAAGCTTTAGGACTGGAGGTGTTCCACGCAGGCACTGCCCTGAAAGATGGCAAAGTGGTGACTAGTGGGGGTAGAGTCCTTTCGGTAACAGCCATCCAGGAAAATCTCATTTCAGCCCTTGAAGAAGCCAAGAAAGGACTAGCTGCTATAAAATTTGAGGGAGCCATTTACAGGAAGGACATTGGCTCTCGTGCCATAGCTTACCTCCAACAGCCCAGGTAAATTTCCTACCAAGGTCATAAGACAGCTTCAGAACTAGCACAACTTCAGAACTGGTATAAATGGCTATGTAGGAATTTCTGTTAACCCTGTACTAAGTCATTCTATAATTTCTCTCTGTGGGACTGATCTGATTTTTATTTGCATTTAGTTGGAGTCAAAACTAGTTAAAACAATATTGAGATGAAATGGAAAAAGCTTCATAGTACATTTTTGTTTTGAAAAGTTTAAGAACTTTTTCACGTTGTATATTTTAAATATATATAATCATTTGTCAGGTACTCATAAATAAAAATGGGGATAAGAGGTTTTTATTCCTTGAGTTATCATATATTTAAACATTACTGTTGTATGTTTATCTTAGTTCCTGGTTTTGTCCAAGAATTCAAGATGAAAATATTGGCCATGTAATTTTGCAACTTAATTTGATTATACTGTAAATTTTGGCGGTCTCACTTTTTACTGTGTTTATACTTATTACTGAAATATGTTTTTGGACCCCTTATATGTTGGTACATACAGCTATTTTTTTGTAAGATCAATAAACTATTAATTGCAAATGTGGGTGTTTCAATTTATTAAATATTGTAATCACAACTCGTTGAGTTCATCTGTGAGAAATAAACAGGTCTTAGGACAAAATGAGAAATTTTTAGTAACTTAATTAAACTTAATACTATTAACTTCTAGACAAACGTTCAAAGTTTAAATACTGGAAGTTTTTTAGGATTAAGAACATTAAAATACCATGCTAAAAGTTTTATTTTTCATTTTAAAATAACTAGATTCTCCATTGAAATGACCTATTTCAAGGGACTGTGGTCTTAATACTAGTCTGAGTTTATTAAAGATGAAGAAAATGAGAGGACATAATGCCAGCTGCTACCTGAGAAAAGGTTTTTTTAAACCAGTAGAACTTGTTTTCCTATTTGAGCATGACTCTGGACTGCTAATTTCATTGGAGTTAATGGCCAAAGCCATCAACTCTGTTTGTACCCTGACACCGTGTTTCTAACAAAATTTCACATACTTATTCATGTATCACTACATTCTGGTAGATCAAAGTACTCATTTTTGAAAGGCAAGGCTACTGAATTCCCAGTGCTGTTCATGAACTTCACCTCTAGATGCACTGGTTCAATGTGTTGGCCTTATTTAGAAGGGAATGGTGCACTGAGTATCATTATCTGGTTTTGCTTTTCTCTTGTGTGTTTCTATCTGGTTTCTTACTGTCTTCAGCTGAAAGGAAACTTACACAATTCTCTATTGCAGTAAGAGTCCAGTTTCATTATTCAGGGATTTCTTTGCAGAGTGCATATAATCCTCATCTTCACTTTCTTTACTCCATTTTAGAATTCCTTTCCTTCCCATACCAAAATTGAACAGAGATGTTGTGGCAAAATATTAGTATATGTAGCTGCCTGTGAGGAATACCTGTAGAAGAAATAAAAGAAGTAGTTCTCAATAGTGATGATACAACTGAATCAACTGAGGAAGTTATTTAAACACATTTCGATTTCCAGGGCCTGCCCTAGACAACGTTAAAATCTGCGGATGGGGCCTACCATGTCCGGAGAGCTAAAAACCACTAGGGATATCTTCTGTTTTAAATAATACTTTAAAATTAAAATAACTTTCCCTGGCATTTAGGTGAAGTGCTTTGTTTTGTTTAATTCTTTAGGGGCCTGACTTACAAGGAATCTGGGGTAGACATTGCAGCTGGAAATACGCTGGTCAAGAAAATTAAACCTTTAGCAAAAGCTACCTCCAGACCAGGTAAGTCAGAGCCTATACTTTGCTAGTTCATTCATTAACTTTGAGAAACACTGAGAATTGATCTGTAATTTACTGAGGAAAATGTTCCAAATTAATGCCAGGTTCCTGTAAGTCTTGTCCTATGTAAGCCATACCCAGTTTTCTGCTTTCTTGTCTATAATACTAAGAAAAGCATTTCTTGAGGCGCTTGGGTGTCTCAGTTAGTTAAGCATCCAACTCTTGGTTTTGGCTCAGGTCATGATTTCGCAGTTCCTGAGATTGACCCCTGAGTTGGGCTCTGTGCTGACAGCCCCTCCCCCACTTGTACTCTCTCTCAAATATTTTATTTATTTATTTTTATTATTATGTTTTTTAAGAGTGCACAAGCAGGGGAGGGGCAGAGAGAGGGGGACAGGGGATCCATTGCGGGCTCCGCACCAATAGAGAACCTGATGCAGGACTCGAACTCATGATCTGTGCCGAAGGTCTCAGACCATGACCTGAGCCGAAGTCTGACGCTTAACCAACTCAGCCACCCAGGTGCCCCAAAATAAATAAATAAACATTTAAAACAAAGAAAAGCATTTCTTATCCGTGATGTTAAACTTAGATATGTCTGCTCCTTTAATATTTAATTACTTTCTTGATCAATTCTTTGAGCATGTGGTGCTCTCCCCCATTCTCAGGAAAAGCAGCTCTTGTTTTAGCCATGCTTATGAAGAAGTTGTTTGTACATCCGTGTTTAATCTGTTGAAATGCAACAAGTATTTAATTTTTTTCCCCATTAGGCTGTGATGTTGATCTTGGAGGTTTTGCTGGTCTTTTTGATTTGAAAGCAGCTGGTTTCAAAGATCCTCTTCTGGCCTGTGGAACAGATGGTGTGGGGACTAAAGTGAAGGTAATCAGACACCTATGTGGTTAAAGGCCTTTTGGGAAAGTTAAGAGAGAATTTACTATAAATCAAATACATATTTTTCCTCTCTTGATATGCACTAGAGAGAACTATACCAAATAACCATAAAATATGGCTAAAATATCTATATATTTCTGAGAGCACAATGTTGTTGAGGCTCTATCTGGATGGAAAGCTTATTTGAGGGGATTAAATGGGATACTTTTGGATCAAGTAGCTCATCAGAATTCAGTATTTTGTCTTTGGGTGCTCGGAGCAGCAATATTTATTAGCCCACTGATAAACTGACAATATATTATTTGGAGCTTATTCACTTATGTGGACATTTCTATTGTGCTTCTTTAGATTGCCCAGCAGTGTAATAGACATGATACCATTGGCCAAGATTTGGTTGCAATGTGTGTAAATGATATTCTGGCCCAAGGGGCAGAGCCCCTCTTCTTCCTTGATTACTTTTCCTGTGGAAAACTTGACCTCGATACAACTGAAGCTGTTGTTGCTGGAATTGCCAGAGCCTGTGGGAAAGCTGGATGTGCTCTCCTTGGTATGACCGACCATCCATTAATCTCCTGTCCTTTTTCTTACTGTATTTTACCCCATGTATAAACGTGATTGGTACCAATATAGATAAGAAGAAAAACTGTAGATTACAAAATGAAGCAAATAAAATATATATAACATTACCAGAAGAAAACTTAGATCCTGGTGCCCTCAAGCTTCTCCTCAAAGGTTTGTCCCCCAGACTCCTACTCCTAGACTTTGAGCCAGGCCTTGCCTTTCTCCCTGATCTTTAGCATCTCCACCCCCATCTTTCTCAATGGCCTCATGGACAGACAGGGTTAGCAGTTTCCTGCTTACTGGCCTGCAGCAGAAGGAGATGATTCCTGGCATTCTAAATCTTAATGTTTCCTGACTGAAGTGACACTAGGAATAAAATGTACCTAACAGAAATACTACTTAAATACATATGAGAATTTGAAGCAAAATGAATGTGTAGTCCGAGTGGTAAAACTACCTTCTTTATATTACCATTTCTGTGGAAAATATGTCCCAACAGCCAAAATTGCCTTTTCAACTGTCTTTTAGTGTTGTTTTTGGTTTTTTTTTTTAATTTTATATTTGAGAGAGAGAGCAGGGGAGGAACAGAGAGAGGGAGACAGAGAATCTGCAGCAGGCTCCAGGATCTGGGCTGTCAGCACAGAGCTGGACGCAGGGCTCAAACTCACAAGCAGTGAGATCATGACCTGAGCCAAAGTCGGATGCTTAACCAACTGAGCCACCCAGGCACCCCTTCAACCATTGCTTAGAACAGTTTAGGGGCACCTGGTGGCTCAGTAGGTTAAGCATCTGATTGTTGATTTTGGCCCAGGTCATTATCTCACGGTTCATGGGATGGAGCCCTGCATTGAGCTCTGTGCTAACAGCATGGAGTCTGCTTGGGATTCATTCATTTTCTCTCTCTCTCTCTCTCTCTCTCTCTCTCTCTCTCTCTCCACCCCCTTCTCCTTCTCCCTCTCCTTCCCTCCTTCCCCCACTCTTGCTCAAGTACGCACTCTCCAAGTAAATAAATAAACATTTAAAAAAAAATGCATAAAAAAGAAAAAAAAAAGAACCGTTTATAACTTGGAGTCTGCCTGCCTACACCCTGTCTTTACGTATGATCACAAAAGTGAACTGTACTTTCTAGGCCAGGGCATTTGGATTTAGGCCTGAGTACGTCACTTCTCTAAGCTTATACTGTCATCTGGAATGTAGAGTGATTATAAAGATCGAATACAGGTGAAAGCATTTCTAAAATTGCCATAGGAATGACATCATATTCAACCAAGCATTCATCCTTTGAATGTCATGCTGTTGGGAAGCTACACTTCTCCCTCATGGGAATTTAGCGGTTTGCCTTAAAATTGTACTTGGTTGAAAATTCTGTTAGGCAGCTAATAGAATACATACTTTTTTTTGAACATTTGTGAAATATAGCCACATGTTTAATTGTTCATATTAAGAGCAGGGGGCACCTGGCTGGCTCACTTGTAAAAGCACATGACTCTTGATTTCGGGTCATGAGTTCAGGCCCCATGTTGGGCATAGAGATTACTTAAATAAACTTAAAAGAGGGGCACCTGGGTGGCTCAGTCGTTTGAGTCCAGCTCTTGATTTCGACTCAGGTCATGATCCTAGGGTTGTAAGATCGAGCCCTGCATCAGGCTATATGCTGAGTGCTGAGCCTGGAGCCTGCTTGGGATCCTCTCCCTCCCTCTCTCTCCCTCTCTCTCTCTCTCCCCTCCTCCCTCTCTCTGTCTCTCCCTCTGCCCCTCTCCCTGGCTCTCATGTTTGTGCACACTCTCGCTCTCTCA